AGCCGAACAACAAGTCAAACTAAAAAAGAATGATGAGCATCTCGAAGAAATCCTAAAAGTTAAGGAAGAAGAAATAGATAAATTAACTGCTGAGTTAGACCAAGAAAAAGAACTACGGATTAAGGACAATAAAAGATGAGAAAAAAAAGAAATTACAGGAGCAAAATTTGTCAATGCAGGAATAACTCAGTTTCAGGAATTGGAATATCAGCATAATGAATTAAAGAAAATTTATGAAGAATTACTAAACCATGACCAGTCTTTAACCGCTCGAATAAAAGATTTGGCTTCCGAAAACATTCATTTAGTAAGACAAATTGAGCATCAGGAGCAAAAGAATAAGCGGTTAACAAGTTCAACCTCCGCCGGGGGAGGTCTTTCTTTGTTTGCGGAACTGAACCAGGCCAATAAATCCGAAGAAACTGAGAAAAAAATTGCTGAATTGGAGCAACAATTGACCGAAAAAGAGAAACAACTAATTGCTTCAGAAACTAAGTTGCTGGAATTAGAAGCCCGAACTAAAAACGAACAAAGAGATTATTTAGAAAACGAGACTCAAAAAAATGCTTGAGAAAAAAATATTCAAGAGTTAACCACAGAAAATAAGAACCACAAAGATGAAATAGCCAGATTGAAAACTCAATTAAAAAATCAAACTGCCTCCCCCTCAGTTATTAGTAAATTAGAGCAGGAGAAAACAAAACTTCTTCAGCAATTAAAATCTGAGGAAGCCGAAAGACAAAAACTTGAACAGGAAAAAGCACAAAGTCAGTTAGCAGATGTTGATAACACCAAAAAAGTTGAAATTCTGCAACAAAAAATAACTGAAAAGATTAATTTTATTAATTCACTTCACGAAAATATTCGCCAAGCCGATATTGAGTGACAGAAAAAAGTATCTAACATCAATAACGAACTTCGCCGAACTCGGGAAAAATTGGCAAATTTAACTAGCGAGCAAGGAGAAACGCAGCAGGAATTACAAACCATAACCAAAGAAAGAAATGAATCACGCCAAGAAGCTCAAGCATTAAAAGGCG